AATTTAAAAATCATAATCATTTTTTAACTAAAATACCCAATTAAGAATATGTTAATTAATAATTTTACATTGAGTTATTTTTATATTTTTGAATGGAATTTATTTTTTATTTACAATTTTATTTATTAGTGTTATAGTTATTAAAAGTTTCAATATTTAAAAGCTAAAATATTGAAAAATTGTTGATTTATATTTGTGCCAAAAAAAACACCAACTTTAAAAGCCATTTTAGGCCTACCGTTAATCAACTATAACTGTTGACTAACGATATGCCTAAATTGGTATGGTCGACGAAAGTTTGTGACTAAAATGGCTTGTCAATAAAAGTTGAGTGTTTTTTTGGCTTATGAGAAAGTTGGTGTTTTATTTCACCCAAATTTGAAAGTTGGTGATTTAAATGACAATTTTCCCGATATTTTATATATAAATTAAAAACAACCTTTACATTAGAAATATTAACAAATAATTAATAAATTCTTATTTATAATTTTCAAATAAGAATAACTTTTTTAAAAATACAAATTCTAAAAAACGTAATAAAAGTATTGTATAATAAACAAAAGATTTTTTTATAATATATAATCAATATATCATAATTTGTTATGTATAATAAAATTATCGTAAATACTATATTTTATAAGTTAGTAAAATCTATCTCAAAAATTCTAATCAACTATTTTGATAACATGGTTAACTTGATTTTCATATATATAATACATATAATATTTTAACAAACACGTATATGTCTAAATAGTAATAATAGTTATATATTATTTAATTACCTGTCTTAAACTATTTTAGTTTAATAGATAACAATAGGGGTGGGCGTTCGGGTACCCATTCGGGTTCGATTCGGATCTATTCGGGTTTTCGGGTTCACAAATTTTAGTCCCATTTGGATATTTTTAAATTTCAGTTCAGGTTCGGTTCGGATCTTTGCGGGTTCGGTTCGGGTTCGGATAACCCATTTAAATTATTTTTAAAATAGATTATATATTTTAAATTTTTTATAATTTATAAACAAAATAATATATTATAAATAATTGAATAACATAAGTAAAAATACATAAAATTAACATATAAATTAGTTTGATTTGAATATTTGGATTGTGAATCAATAATTTTTTTTTTTGATTGTGAATCAATAATTTTTAAAGTATTTTTGATGTTTTGAGTAACCTTAACAATTTTAAACATGTATGTTTGACTATTTACATATATTTACAAGTATTTTGAACAACTTCAAAGTATTTTATATATATTGAATGTTTTTTATATACAATAAATCTAAAAATAATTAATATATATAGGTATATAAATCTCTTTCGGATATATTCGGGTACCCAAAATATTTCGGTTTTGGTTCCTTAAATACCAAAATTTTGAACCCATTCGAATATTGAATCAATTTCGGTTCCGATTCGATACTAATTTTTCAGATCGGCTTCGGTTCGGTTCTTCGGATCCGGGTTTTTTGCCCAGCCCTAGATAACATCATGTAAATAATTAGTTTTTTTTTTTATGATGGTGTAAAGAAAATCAGTTTAGCTCATGAAACAAATATATAATTATGAGTAAATAACTTCACCCTACATATTTCAATTTACTGTTATTCTTTTTAAAAAAATCTTTGTTACTTACTGATATAGTTTAACTAATATATACATTGAAAAAAATTACATTTTTTAAAATTTTATCATAGTTAGACAAGTATACTTACTAAAATAAATAGTAAATAAATAATTATAATTGTTGTAAAAAAATATAAACGCAAAGCTACTTTTTAGTTAAAAGTGAATCAAAAATTTAAAATAAATTTACTATTATTTATTTACTTTCCCGCCCATAGGGCGGGTTTACCCTAGTATATTATAAAATATAGATATTAGTCAACTATTATTTTGGATATCATAACATTTACATCTACCTCTACTTACATGTAATAGGAAATAAAGAGAATGATTTTTTTCGTAATTGTGTATTTTTGTTCAATAACATTAATTACAATCTTCAACATGCAACTACTTTCTCTTTATCATTTCAATTTATTTTCTTGATTTTTTCTTCTTGATCTTATGTGTGTTCAATCCGTAACACGAATGCTGTCTCATGTTGGTAATCTTTTGAATTGAGATGTGATGGAGGATAAGGTGGAGTCATAGCAGACGACTTCGTGGTAAATAGCCCGGAGGTTCTGCAAACCGTGCGAACGAGAAGACCGATAAGGCTGCACTTGAACAAATTTCCCAATTATTTATGTTTCAACTATGTTCTCTTATTATCATTTATTTCTCAATCACTGAGTGTTTTTGTAATAATTTTTCTCTTTCCAGAATTGTCATTCCAAGGGTGAAAATGGAAATTTTGGTATAGAAAAAAAAACTTGTGAGAAGATGTTGGTATATAAATTTAAGAGAAATTGCACCCTATAGACATAAGAAAAACATAAATTCACTAAATAGCTAAAATTCCACTCTCTCTCCTACTCTCTTTTCCTATCTCTCTCTACTCTCTCTCTTAAAAATCTAATTTTCCTTTTTTTCTTGGTTATATGGCAAATAAACCCTAAATTTAATGGATATAGTTTCTGGTTAAGTTGCCATCTTCAGTCATGATTAAACATTTTGTTATTTTTTTTACGTGTGTGGAACTAAAAGAAAAGTAAATGTCAAAGCGTGTCGATGGTGTTGAACACAACGACAAAATAATTCATTTTTTTCTCTTAAATAAATTTGTATTGATCTTAATCATATGTATATTAAAAAATATACTAGATATACATATATATAGTGATACCCAAGCAATATTTTATTAATCTCTTTATTTAATAATATGGATTTTATTGAGATATTCCACATGATTATGCTCTAATTTCTTATAGTTTGTTAAGACACTCAAATAGCTGAGTTCATGCGTTGAGACACGCTTTCAGCAAGTGTATCATAACATTTTATATTTCCGGTGCGTTGTTACAGAAAAAACATTGTTTTCCGGTATAATGAAGGGAACGGATGCACTTTCTGTCGAATTCTAAACCATCTACATTTTCCACTATATAAAAAAGTAGGATTAAAATAATAATATAATGGTATATACATAGTTGCATTGCCTATCATAATAAAATAATAGAAAATATAATATTTTTATATAGGCATCATTGCATTGTTCATACATTGATGTAGAGGATAACAAGAAAAATCAAGATGAAGCATATGATAGCAAAATGTGATGTTGACATTATCGTTATACTCTTCTAATAAACATTGTGTTTCTTTGCTATCTGATGGTTATATTTCTTAGGGACATATAATTGAGACTATATATATATAAATATGTAAGAGAACTATTATTAGTTATTTAAGTTTCAATTGGTTATTGTAATCGCTATTATGGGACTTTTTGAGATCCATTTTGTTCACGGTCAAAATGATGGCCTGAATCTGGAAATTACTAAATGGGATCTGTAATATGAGATAAATTTAAAGGTGAGTATGTAGGCACATTAATCATTTATGTGATAAAATTCAATTACATTTATAAAAGGTTACCCAGCATCCATGTTTACAAAGCCGACGTATAAGCCATGTTTACGTTAGTAACATGTACTGATCATTTAGTTTACATTCTCAATATGAAAAAACCCGTCAACGGTGCATTATAATTAATAACAAAATAACTCTTCTCCTGGGAGGAGGAAGCTTAAATAAAATGGAAGAAACAACAAAGAATAACATAGGAATTTAGCATTTATAAAAGACACGAAAGGTAAGTTGGGTTGAAGGTTTGATGGACTTGACACAATCACACATGAGGGAGTTTGAGGTTGTTTCCTTTGGTTTCAGAGCCAGAAGGTTTTCCTTCTTCAACTTTCTTTGCTTTCTTGGCCGCATCAGCGCATTGCTGGCAGTTTCTGTTGCTTCCGCACCTTCCATGTCGAAGAATGGAGATTGATTGTTGTTGCTACTCTGAAACATAGTTGTACTTGTGTTAGCTTAAATTACCAAGAAGTTTAAGTATTGGAAAACTTATATAACTCCACCTGTGCCTGAGTCACAAAGTAGCTATCATTACCGCCGGAGTCCCTAAGTAGCTATCATCACTGATTGCAGAAACAGTGGTTGCGAATGAAATTGTATGGAGGTACATGTATCTAGAAAACATAGTCCTTTCCAGCTAGGCAGCTGGGTAGCTCCTGCTCTCCACCGCCACTTATTTGTAGACATACATTCTGAGTCACACTTTATAATTTTAAACGTAAGACAAAAGGAGTGTAGCAGTTAAAACATACCTTCTCAAGTGAAGAGTAGGTGCATCTTTCTTGGAGCTTAGTCCTCCATGCCGAAGACCACAAATGTGACACTATCGTTGCCGTCATTAACTTCTAGCTTAACACGGAACCTGGAATAAGAGGAAGCTTAAGGTGAGTGTATATGTATATGACGTTGTGCCTTTAGTTATTGGTGCGAAACTGAGGATATACACTTGATACCTGATAACTCCCGTAAAGTTGGAAGAAGCACATCTGTTGCACTGGAGGGAAGTGCCGGATTTGTCCAACTTCCTGCTTAAACAGCTGTGATGAAGCGGTGGATCAGAAAATTCTGCATATGGAGAGAGAATAGTAATGTCAGAAAAAGTTTCATAAAAGTGATGAAGCGGTGGATCAGAAAATTCTGCATATGGAGAGAGAATAGTAATGTCAAAAAAAGTTTCATAAAAGGATTGGAATCATATATGATTGGTGTAGAGCCTTTTCATTCAGGAGAAATATGATGAATCCAATAAAATTCATAGTTTTTCTTAAAGTTTATTACAATGAATTGGGAACTCCGGTCAAGTCGGAGAGCGTCAAAGATTGAGTGGCAGACAGCTAGAGCAACAGAAGCAGTAGACGAAGCCGGTTGAGAAAAACTGTGACTTGAAATCAGATGCAAGGGCTCGTTGTGTAACATGAACAACATATATATAAACGAGAACTTCAACGGGGTCATGAAACCTAACCATTATGAATGGCATGAGTAAATACTGGAAGATAAATAGTTCATGAAATCTACTATAAATAAAAGCGGAATATGAGAGCATTCAGGCTGTCCACATGTGTTTTAATAATTAACCAATCGGATTGACTTAATCATACACGTCATCTGCCTTCTGATCCGTTTGGGCTTCGGTTTTATTGGTTATGGGTTTGGTTTTTTTTTTTTTTTTATTTCGGCCCGACGACTTGAGAAAGCGATAGGAGAGACGTAAACCCTAACTTTTTTCGATCTCCTCTCATCCCATCCTTCTCGTCTCTGCCTTCTCTCATCCTGATCCATTCCCGATTCATATACTCACCGCGAAACGCGAATCTAGCTCTCTCTCTCCTAATTTTCACGGTGAGCTTATATATACTCTCTCTTAATTTTTTTTTTTTTGTATTTTTGAGTTTCTAGCATTAGTGTTATGATTTGATATATTTATTCGGCGTGGTAACATATGCATCGATCTGTTCATGTCTATACTGTTGATTTAGTATTCGTTTCTGTTGTGATCGGTATGGTGTTTGTTAGGTAGGTTTGGAAATGGCGACAGCTCCAAGAAAATTGATTTGGGAGATCGTTAAGATCAACAACTGTCTCTTGGTCAAACAGTTCGGAAGAGGCAACGCCAAGGTTCAGTTCAGCAAGGAGACTAACAATCTCTGCAACCTTAACTCCTACAAGCACAATGGTAATTTTATTACAATGATCTTTGCTACCAAACTTAATGATTTGTCTTTCTCTTGATCGTTAGTGAACTGACTAGTATGATAGCTTCTGAGAAGGATTCATGTCATGGCTTTCAGGTTTTGCAAACAAGAAGACAGTGACCATCCAGCCTGCTGACAAGGAACAAGGTGTTGTCCTCGCCACCACTAAGACCAAGCCTAAGATCTCTGTCAACAAGTCCATTGTAAGACCCGATCCCGGCCTCTCAGGTCGTGGTGAAAGCCTCACGTCGCTCAGTCCTCTTCCGGACCGAACCTCAAAAATTTTCGCCCTTTATTTATAATATCGCCCATAGGCGAGGGCTAACTTAGATCTTAGCTTAAGACTACCTTAGTATTTACTAGCTTAGATCATTTATATTCATACGCAGCGGATTATACTATATTAACCATTGGTCTAAAACCAATCTAACACTTGTCCAATCTAATCGTCTATGCCTTGGTCAGTTCACTGAACTACCTTCCAGCTCATAGATCGATCCTTACATGGTACAAGTCATACAAGTCCAAGGTTCCATTCCCCTAAACCATTCTAGCTAGATCTAATAGAAAGTAGCTAGATCATACCTTTGCCATATCCACAGAGCTTGTTAGCTCATCGGTCCAGCTGACCTAGTCAGCTCATCCTCTTAGCTGACTTAGCTAGCTCATACTCCTGACTGACTCAGCTAGCTCATCCATCTCATCGAGCTCTGAGCTAGCTGAAACTGAGCTAAGGCCAGCTGCCTCAGCTTGTTTAGATAGCTCATCCAGCTAGCTAAGCTAAACCACTTCTCCTGAGGTTCCATCTAATCTCTTTCAGCTGATCAACCTACAAGATAGCTGCGCCCAGCTTCCTGTCAACTCGTCCAGCACTCTTACACCTGCATAAACTCTCCCCTAGGTACTTAGTCATTCAACCAACCATCCCCACTGACCAAGTAACCTTTGGGAAGTCTTCATCAGCTATGGCAATGCATCACCAATTCTCCTCACACTTGTAGAATATGATAGCAAGTCCATCTCCTGGACTAACCTGTGCATCCTTTGATCAAACAGAGAAGACACCTTGGTCCATCATCCATGGATCAGGTCGTCTCCCTTTACTTATGATCAGAAAACACACAGCATTTCCTGCATAATAACAATCATAATCCATACTTGTGGTCCACGCCACCCAGTACCAGCCTTACCCTCAGGTACCAGTATGACAACAAGCAAAGATGCTCTATAACCACAAAAGTACAATCAATACATATTAATCCGATATCCTAGCACACGGTTCTAGCAATTGCATGATTCCGAGCCTAAGGGCTAGTCCCTGCCCAAATCTGACCCTTTTCAAAAGTGGTCTAAAAATTATACAAAGGCTATGATAATTCATGAAAAATCCCAACTAAGACAATGGTCAAATCAGATTCCTCAGAACCTGTCTCGATCATACCGATCTCGATCCTGACCAGCCAAACCGGCCCAAAAATAATAAAAATGGAATTTGACCTAGACAACTCCAAATCCAATTCTTTTTGTTCCTAAAACTCTTATAATTCATAAAACTAATGTATGCAAAGAATTAGGGGATTTGGTCACACGAAAACCGGCCTTGGGTAGAAAACCCTATCTCAGCCAGATTTGCCTTTAAACCGGCCAAGGGCCCTGGTTTAACGCTCGTGTGTCCATAGCCCATGCACGGCCACAAACAGAAAGAGTTGAAGAGTAGGAGATGATAGAAAAGAGGAATGTATGCAACCGGTTTCCCATCTCACCAGGAACCACATGGATCCAATCCGCACGGCCATGGGAATGGCTTTCTCGGTTCACATCACTAACCTTAGATCTTGTGCCTCCAACATCATGTCCGGCCATGCTCCTCCAAATAACACCTCCATAAATTCTTATCATATACCTCCTGTATTGATAAGATCTCTCCATGGGTCGCACCAATGGTTCCTTCCATTGATCTCCCATGAAAACCAGTTTCTGCACTGCATCCACCTTCAAGGCTGTTCATGCCTTAAGATTGAAGTCCAGCCTTCTCCCTTCTCTCCTGGGTATTTTAGTGTGTTTCCAAGATGTAGAGGAAGCCTAGGATGTGTTAATCCAGGATCAAACACCACCACAGGGTCGTTCATAACTTCCTTTCCACTCCCATGAAACTGCCTTTCTACACACATCTGCCCTTAAGGCTGTCTTGGCCTTTGGGAATGAATTCCGGTCATCTCCCTTCTTTCCTCACCATTTTAGTGTGTTCTAAGGCTCCAGAGAATGCTTGGGGTGTTGTCAACAATGATCAAAACCGTGCAAAGAATCGTTCTCAACTTCCCTCTTGATCTGCCCTAAAACTGCCTCTTTGTGGCCTTCACATCACCATGGATCTTGGATTGGGAATCCGACCAACTCTCTGTATTTTCTCTGTATTTCTTTGTGTTTTAGGGTAAAGAATGGATCCCTGGCGTGCCTGCAAAGGCACGGACTTGCCTTCATTATATAGAAGAAGGGGTGGTTACTTCTTAACCATTGCATCCCTTCGGTATCAATTATGGCTATTGATTTAATCAATGGTCCATATCACACCCATTCGCCTAAGACAGTTACTAGACGTCCTGGGCCTGATAAACAACTCCTGGAAATGTCTAGAACAAGCCAAAACAAGTTTCACACGTCCCTGACCCAACCACAAGAGCCCACTGGCCCATTGGTACACATGGGTCATCCACCTGGCCTGGTCACTGTCCAGACCCGGCCTAACTGCCCAAGACTTGAACACTCAGTCTAGCTGAGTTGAGCTGATCCCCAGCTGACCCAGCTGAGTGAGCTACTCCATCCAGCTCAGGGAGCTGGCACACTCTACTTGAGCTCCAACTGAGCTCTGTCCAGCTGGTTGAGCTTCTTGCTCGCATCACCCAGCTGTGATACACTTCGTACAGCTTGATATCTTCATCTTGTACAATCTTTCTAAGTCCCTTGGTCTATTCACAGACCTAGAATTAGTCTTCCTTTGCTCCATTCTGATCATTCACTTAATCGAGCTTGGCCACGATCATTTCTCATGATCTGAACCAAAGCTGTCTCGTTTCTATCAAACGTCTAAGCCTTATATCAAGTTCCAGGAATGAGAACATGGCGGTTCAGCTGGTCTGAGCTGACCAGTGAGTGTTAAGCTAGACCGAGCTGGGCTGAGCTCACCCGAGCTTCCCCGAGCTAGGTCGAGCTGTCCCAAAACCCCGTTGAGCTACCCCTTTACTCGTGTAACTCCTTTAACTCCTTTTCCTTCTTTATATGGCTAAGTCTCAGCTCCCTGATGCCCTTAACCACGTTGCTAGACCATGGTATGCTTTCCTTTAGGTCTCGTGACCTGACTGATGCGTCTCCTCGCACCATGGTCCGTCTTGACGATCATACTCAGGATCGGGGACATGACATCCATCCTGAAGAAGGAATTCCCCAGTATGTCCAAGGCTGTTGCTAACCAGGTTTGTGTATCTCTGCAACTTAAAGATGTTTGTTTCTATGTCTTTGATGTGCTAAATAAGTTTCTGTGATGGATCTCAAGGTGGGTCCATTTACACTGTTGCTTCCTCTTGCTTTGATTTGTGTCATCACATATCTGAATATGATATGGGAGAAGGAGATCTATTCAAAGCTCTTGGAGAGGCTGTTTTAGTCGTTGATCAACTCCCAGCTTCTTTAACAATGATCTCTTGCGACGAGCCTTTAGTGAAGGTGACATACATGTTATTTTCAATCTCCATTGGATATGATTATTGTTAGTTGTAACTGAAAGGATCAACATGTGAAGTTCCCTGTACACAGGAACAAGAAGAGCAAGCAAAATTTCAAGCGCAACACGAACAAAACACCTATCCTTTAAAATTAATTTTTTAACTCAAGATTGTTTGGTTTAGTGCTGCATTATAAAACCAATGCTTAGTCTCCTTATGTTAACAATCTTCTTGCTTCTTGTGATGGGGAACCTGATAGATGCATATATTTTTCGAGTACAAAAGACAACTTTCATAGATACTTACAGTCATGTAAACTTCTTATTAAGCTTTGCCATGATTTCACATGTTATAACCGTCTTTGTTCTTGCATATCACAAAGATGCAGTCCTCTCCCCCGAGTCAAATGCTTATTCTTTCTGGCTAGCACACACAGATGCTCCTAAAACCAAATAATATATTGGAAATACCTACCCATCTCTAAAGTAATAAATTTCTCTTACCTTTGTCTCTGTATTTTACTTTGTATCAATAAGTATATGTAGTTAACTACACATTTCTGTCTTTTTTTTGTGGTTCATATTGCAACTACATAGGTAGGTTACAAAATTCTCTTTTTCTCATTATTTTGTGTTTTATTGCGAATACGTTTCTGATGGGAGTTTATATTCAGGGCATTCACGGTTACTAGAAGAGTTGAGGCAGATGCTGCCAGGGAAACTCTTTCTTCTCTTCCCGACGAGGTTGTGGATACTGTTGGTGTTACTTCTCTGCCGTCTGAAAACCCTGTATCTGAGCGACTAAGGAAACTAGAGTACATAGTTCAGATTAAGGTATGATATTAAACCATTGATTGTATTGTGTTATTCTTTGCTTTAGGAAGTTAGAGAACTCTGTTTGATGTGTTTTGAATTTTATATATGTAGAAAGAGAAAGAGAAATAAGAGGAGGACCTTACAAGGATTAAGGATGTAAAAGGTGGTGAAGAGGATAAGGCGTTGCAAGAGATGACCATACCAACTGCCAGAGAAGCACAAGAACAGGCTAGAGCTGAAGTTCTCGAACAGCAATGATGCACAGGTTTGAAAACATTGGTAAAAAGGATATTATGACTGTTACAAAACGTAATAAACACACTAACATACCTTTCAAGGAAGCATCGGTGGTCTCTGGTGGAGAACGAGCAATGTAGGGGTTGTACGGGTTAGATCCGGTGGGGTAAGAATGATCTGGTTCCTGAGACCCGGAAACCAATTCGGGGCTCCAGTGGACGATTTTCTTCGATCCAGACAAAGTTCTAACCGGCCGTTGAACGCTCCCTTTTGTCTCGATT